TAGAGATGTACAACCTCCAGGAAGATAAATCATCATAAACTCCTTCCAACCAACTGTGTCAACAATCTAATAACTACTTTTAAAGCAATTACTTGAAAACCTAATGCCAAGAAAACTCTCTTGTGACTCCGGAACAAATGACCATCAACAACTGTGTGTAGCGACGCAACTGCCCAACACCCCCTGCACCGTTCTGATCAGCAACTTAGTGCTCTGGGCATTCTTCCCCTGCACATGGGGGCACATCTCAGTCTCTCCCAGTTTGTAAACCATGGGACTGGGCTCGATTTAATTCCTTCTGGTTGATACAAGGCGAGCCACAGCATGTCCTGATTTACTGTGCCTTTGCACAACCATCAGTGTGGGGAAATCCAGCTCACATGCTCCTGACTGGGCTGATCAGGGTAAAATGTTGTAACGAAGACAAGATTCTAGTCACTGCTTTCCAGAGCACATGCAACTGGCGTTACAGGACTTCATTCATCAGCACTGATGATGTGTCCATAACATACTAATATTGTAACAATGTAGTCAGCAATTAAATCACAAACTAATGTTTATTAAAGAACATGGTGTTATCAGAAACACCAGGGTGGGTCAGTCAACTGCACATGAAAATTTAAATCCCTTTGTTGTCCAGCTTCAAGTTAATTATAAGGCTTTTTTAAATACTCAGATTGGATGCTTAGGAAAGCCATTCAGTACTTCTCACATTGTACTTATGTTAAGATTGTTTACATGTGGCAATTCCTAGCACAACGAAATGTTTGAACACTGATTTGCACAGGATAAGCCAGTGCTTAAAATTTGGCTGACCTAACTGTATTGGTTTGAGACGTGAAAAACCTCTGTCTCCACGCTGACGTTGCACTGATGAAATCCCTTCTGTGGACAGGATCACACTACCAGAGATTTGTCAGTTTATGCCTTTTGGAGGTGCAGGACTGTTGACAGAAAGGCTCTAACAGAGCACACTGGTCAAGAAGTTCCTCGGGCTGGACAAGGCAGAAGCAGCAGCAGGGTTTGTTATCAACTCACACAACAGAGTCAGCCTGCAGCATATCTGCTTCTGATAAAAGAACTGCAGATGCTACAGCCATTTATGCACTTTTTTTTTTTTTTTAGTCTCCTTAATCTTGTTCTTTAATATGGAATGTAAAATCTTACCAGATAGAACTGGACAAAGTTTGGGAAAAAATAATCTCACATGATGTTCACTGCTTGCCAACTCTTGGGACATGAAGCATGTTGGGCCAGGCAATCAGAGATGAGCACAAAATATTCCTTCCTGAAGTTTGTCCCACTAACACTACAGAGCAGAAGTCAAACAGATCAAGAGTTCTAGGTCTATTTTAAAACACAGAGTTAAACCAAATCACTTCCAAGCAAAAACTCTTCCAGTGCTAGCTAGTTTCTTGCTTTATCTACCACATCTCCTTTTGCCTACCACAATTTTTACCTTCCCATTTGGGAAATGAACTTCTAATATCAAGCTACCAACAGCAGAAATAATGTGATCCAGACCAGCAGCTTTCACCTGTGGCCTCCAGACCCCAATGGGTCCAAAGATGACCTGTAGCATGTGGTGAAAGATAATTAAGAAATGCAGATTCATAAATGCTATTCAGCAACATATAAAAACTTTTTTACCCTTATCATCTCTTAAAAAAATTCCCAATGGAGACACAAGTCCTTTGTAAAAGTTTGTAAAAGGAAATCTATCTCCATTGGTACTTTTTAAAGAGATTATAAAATGAAAAAAAATTTTAAAGCAATACGGATCCTGTGTGCCTGTTTCCAAACCTTACCTCTTATTCCATCTCTCCTACATCCTGTATTCACAGGGATCCCCAAGACTTGGCTGTCAAGACAGCGGACACCAGCTACTCAATTGCCTCATTACACCCATTTTTGCAACATCACCTTTACATTAGTAGAAAAACTGAGTCCTGTTCTTGCAGTACTGCACAACGCATCCCCCACTCCCGACAGAATCTATGTCAGCACAACGCAACGCAGCATCACAGAGCTAGAGATGGATTAGAGAGCAGGAGAGCCTCATCAGCTTGATTGGCTTGACTCATTAAGCTTACACACCTCTTCTGCCAAGCTCTGACCAGCTGCAGCAGCAGCATCAGCTGCAAATCTATGGGAGTCATGAGAAAAGCAGCCATGTGAGCCCCTACCCAGAAGGCTGAGAAGAGTACTGAACCTTACGATACGGAGCTCCTTCACAAAACCGAATAAATTACATTAAAGAAAGAAAACTCTAACAGGGTGGATAAACAAGGCAATGACAACTAGTCCTTGAAGTATAACTGCAATCACAATTGTAAAGTCTTTTCCCTTAAGGAAGGAAACTGGTAGAGCAACAAAGCATCTGCTACATCCACTAGCAGCCCTCACTCTGACCTTGATTTTTAGATCTTGCTGGGTAACGAGGCCAGCCTTGCTGTGTGAGCGGTTTCTGGCACGCTAGCCCTGCTTGGGCTCTGTTCCTGCTGCTGCCAGCTGCATCTCGCACAGCTCTTCGCTTTGACATCCATGCCTTACTAACAGCCACTCCTAGCTCAGCAGCTCTGCAAAGCCTCCCTTAGCTCAGCTGTTGGAAGGCTGTGTGCAACCACCCCTGTGCTCACAGGAAACTCTCGTCAAGTTTGATTCTCACACAGCTCTCAGGAAACACTACATAAATTTCTCCTGCCCTATCCCTCCTTTCCAGAAGCCAAGCTTTGCTTCACAAAACTGCAAGCAGTTCCCTTAACCGTGCTTTCAGGCATCAATAGAGAGACGTGGCCAACCTAAACTGCTGTGCACCACGATCATTACGAACTCCACTGTGTGAGAGGACTCCTTCTTTCAAAGAAATGCCTCTCAAATGCACCTCAACAATATATGCAAAAACCCCCGTATTTCCAGGCCAGCCCACTGCTCCATTACCATTCACACCCAGCAGTGGGGCTCCCCTCTGCAATTCACCAGGGAAGATGAGGGGTTTGCCTTCCCTTTCAGCCTGAGTCACCAGCCTCATGCTCAAATGAAGGTTTGCGCTGTTGTAGCTCTGTTGCTTCCAGATTCAAGCTATCACATCCACATGGCTCTCAACTAAATAGACAAACCAGCTGGCTCACACCGCGTTGAGGCACCGCTCCACAACTCTGTTCCCCCACGCAACCATACCTAGGGGCTCTGGCAATGCCTCTGGGACCTCTGTCACCACCTCTGGGAAGAGCATTTCTATACCTCGCTCTAGATTTGAAATGCATGGCAATGAGGGGAAGGGCCCCCAACACTTGTCATTAATGTTTCTTCTCCTTCCAGTAAGATTCCTGTTGAGTTTCTAGTAAGACTAGACACCGTAAAAGTTTTGTGTTTATTTCATTTGTAATACAGCAGAAAAAAAAGTGTACAGAGATCTTCCAGCCACAGGAAAACCAGAGTCTTTTTCTGGGCCAGTTTCTTAGACATACAACACAGGGATAGAGTCACACTAAATTTGAGATGGAAAAGAAAAACATGAAAGCTGCACAAAAGATCAGCACACTAGCAAACCTGTGGCAATGCGTCTTTCTCAAATCTGTAATACCCTGCAACCTAGCGAAGAACGGCACAGAGCTTGTACGGATGGGGTTTAACTGTGCTCTCACAGATACTGTCCGTGTTCACTTCCTTCACTCCTTCTGGTGGAGTGAACTTAAATGTCTGCAACAGGCTGGAGAAGATGATGAAAAGCTCCATCTTCGCCAGCATTTCTCCCGGACATACACGGTAGCCTGCAGAGGGAGAAGGGAAAGAGCAGTCAGTGCCCACAGAGGGCTGTGACCAGTACCCGCTTCCCAGCTGTTCAAAAGAGCATCACTCAACCTCCTTGAGGAACAAAAGGCTTTGCTGAATTGGACATTTTCTCTCAGATTGAACTGACCAAATAATTGAGATGTCTGCAACCCTTCTTTGCAGAATCTGCCCAGATTACAGAAAGATACCAGAGGCGTTTCTTAGTAGTTTCATACTTTACTTCCTAATCTACAGGACTCCCCCATTCTGTGAACTGCATTTCAGAGTTTAAGCCTCTTTATTCCAAATGAAAATGACAAGAAATCATCTTTAGGTTCCCTCACAGCTTCCACTGACTACAGGCTGACTTTTCTTCACTAATAGATTAGAGTGAAAATCCATAATACAGGGGACATTCTACATCTGACTAGACATTTCCTACATAATGCTTTCAGTGAAAACAACTTGTTAAATAAAAAATCATTCCCAGTTTATCAATTAACTGTGTCCAGGATATAGTTTCCAGTCAGAGAAAGAGCGTGACAGACCCTGAAATGCAGTGGTTAGGCCATTCAACCCGGATGTGAGAAACCAATGTTCAAACTCCTCTTCTGCTCAGTTTAGGCCAGGAACCTGAGCCTGACCCTTCCACATCTCAGCAGAGTGCTCTGACAACCAGAGTGCTGTTCCATTCTGGCATGATCCCCAAGAGCTTTTATTTGTTTAAGCTTCTATAAAATCACACACTGGGTGAAAAAGTGACTCCAGAAACTCCTACTTATCTGGGATGTATTTGATCCAGCTTCAAATTTCTGCATCAATGAATGCTGAATTATTTATATAAAATAAATCAGCTCCAGCAGAGCAGCCTGCCACAGGACAGCTGCTATAGTAGCGTTACCTGGCAATGAAGAGGATGATGGAGGACAACAGTGTAAGGACTTGAATCCCCAAATTATTGGCAATTCTACAGCCTTAGTCCTTTTACCTTCTCCAAATTTTTACAAAAATCTAAGATCAAGGGTTTATACAATTACCAAAAAACTTCTTTTTGTAATCTAATGTTTTTATGAGTCAGGAAAACCACGGGCTCCTACAGTTTGGGATTACTCTCCTTTTGGCCTTCTCTGCAATGAAAATAATACAGCTTCACGCGCACAATCTAACCCACACAAACACGTTCAGTTATCAGTGCACCCACCTGCTGAGAAGGGCAAGAAGGCCTCTCGGGTCACAAAATTTCCATCTTTGTCCAAGAAATGACCAGGGTTGAACTGATGAGGAGTCTCCCAATATTCAGGGTCAAAAAGAACTGAGTCTAAGTTTGATGTAATGAGAGTGCCCTGAAAGGAAGACGCTGTTGGCTCAGTTCTGTCTCTCACACATCAAGAAGAAAAGGACACAAACAGATTCCAACTATAATTTAGCACACTGGTGGTCACATGGAAAGGCAGCAGAAATGAAAGATTATTTTATTAGGGAAAAAAATATTAATCTCAAATTGTTCTGAGTGGCTTTTTTCTTCAAAAAGCAAATAAGAAAAGAAACTTCAGTATTTCAGGTTCAAGAATTTCCCTGCTGTATCCCTTCATGTCTTTTTTTCCCCATTCTGTTAGCACTTGCAACAGAATGAGCTGTCTATGGTTCTTTAGCACCTTATCCTAAATTTGGGAAAATTATTTTCCCACTTCTGACAGGCTTTGAAAGGTTTTGACAAATTAAGAACAAAGCACCCTGGAAATGAAATAGTATATTTCGAATTATCTTTCTCAAGGTGAAGGTGGGAAAGGTGTGCGTGACAAACACCATTGAGCTGGCGTGTGCAGGACGATGCCTCCACGTGTGCCTTTAGGAGGGCAGTTTGGCACTGAGGTTAAGTTTGGAAAGGCTGGACAAGTCGAAGAAGCTGGCAGAAGCTTTTTATTTGAGGTTAGGCGGCAATTCAGAAGCTGGAGGGAAACATCTCCGTTATATTTCGAATACGATGCCAGAGAGGTAATAATAAGAAAAATAAGTCCCAAGTGAATTAAGTTGAGTGGACACTCAGTATTGCCTCAGACATCAGCAGTGAAGAAAACACCCCATCTCCCATTTGTCCACATGGCAGACAATATCCTACCATGAACAGTCTGCTGCACCTCCCGACACCACTGCACATTCCTGAGAAGTCTTCTTTGAGGCATTTTGGAAGTGTAAGAGCTCAAATGCTTATAACGTATTTGAAAATCACAGGCTCTTGGAAAGTAAGTCTCTGCAGCACTCCCACAGAACACTGGTTTAACTGGTGTGAAACTGCTTTTGGCAAGCATTTTCACCCACTATCTGTGAGAAAAAGGCACAGGCCAGAGGACGTGGGAGGGGAAAAGTGCTGTCTGCCAGTGCTGTCACCTACACCCATCTGTCCTGAACTGGAGAGAAAAGGGGTTGATAGCAAACAGGACTGCAAGGAACTTAATTCATGGCCAAAGATCTCATTGGAACAGAAAGAATAGCTGTACCTTTGGAATCTGATACCCCAAAAGAGTTGTATCCTTCACTGCTTGTCTAGGAAGCGAGATTAAAATAATGCTACCAAAGCGCATGATCTCATGAACCACAGCATTTGTATAAGGCAGTTTTTTA